AAAAAAAAAAAAAAAAAAAAAAAAAAAAAAAAAAAGAAATGAGATTTGGGGAAAGGGGAAGTTTGATACAAATATTGATACTTCATTTTATATTTAATATTTGACCCTTAGATGATGATCATCATCATTATTGTCACTGGTGGTTTGTAGGCTGTTACCCTGGATCTGCTGGGAGATCTTCAGCAACTCACAACCTCTTTGAGTCTCAGTTCCTTTCTCCGGTCAAGGGAGAAGATCCCTCATGTGGTATCTAAAATGCTTGCCTGTTTTTCAAATGATCTGACAATAAAAATAAGGCAGCTTGCACCATCTAGCAAATGGCACAAAGTGTTCAGTGCCAGTAAACTTACGAATTGGCCAGAATGTAAAATATTTCACCTTCATCTGGAGCTAAATCTTAAATGAGAAAAAGATTTGTGAAAACCACACTAGCTTGGCTCTGAGAAGCCATCACATTTTGTATCTCAGACAGTGGCAGCCAAATCAAGTTCAGACGTTAAGAAAAACCAGCTAGTTGCCAAACCAGATCAGTGTCACGGGGGAGGTTATATTTTTCAACTTATAAAACCAAAAAGTTCAGAAGAAAGCCAGAAGACAAAAGCAGATTGCATCTGGCAGAAGGGAAATATCCAATCAAAAACTGGCAGGAGAAAAAGGAGAAAAAGAAAATGTACTTCATTTGTCCAATTTCATTATGGGGGAGGAAAACGTATGACGTGATTTTGACTCAGAAATGTTTCTGAAAACACAAAACTAAGATCCAGTTCACATCCCTCGTTAGGACCACTAATTATGTTAACAGGAAAAACATGAAGAAATCTTGTGGAGTTTTTTTAGTAATTTGTGAAGATGAGAGCTGGCTAGGAAACAAAATGTAATTAAAAGAAGAAGAAAAAAAGTCAAGACCTAAAGTTCTACAGAGAGGGGAAATATTCCCATGTGCAGCTGGGAAAGGACAGATCTTTACAATATGGTTCATTAAGTGGAACTAACACCCAAGTTTCTTTCTGTTCGTAATATAGGCCACATTGTCAGAAAATGTGGGGTTTTTCTCATTTAGAATTAGAAGAAGAGATGACAAATGAAGGGAGTAACAACTCTTGTTCCAAAAAAACTTATTTAAAGAGCCATTCACATTCTTTGTAGTATTCAAAACAGTCAATCCTTAAGTGGCCACCTGGTCCACCTGCAGCACCAGAGCTGGGCCAGCAACGAAAACCAAGATGCGAGGCACTACACTGGGCACATTATTCTCATTTGCTGAATCTCAGGCCATTTCTAATGCACTGAAAGAAACCCCTTTCAAAATAATATCTACTGAATTGATTAAAAGAAGACCTAAAAAAGAAAACTCACAGAATGAGAAAAAAATAATTGCAAATGATATATGTGATAAAGAACTTGTGTCTAGAATACTGCATATGAAAAACTCTCACAACTCAATAGTAAAAAGTCAAATAACCCAATTAAAAGTAGGGCGAGAATCTTCATAGACATTTCCCAAAGAGGAGCTATAGATGGTGAATATGCATATGAAAAGATGCTCACCATGCTTAGCCATCACTGAAATGCAAGTTAAACCACAGTGAGATTCCACTTCACAGCTACTAGGATGGAGAACATTAAAACGACAATAACAAGTGTTGGTGAGCATATGGAGCGACTGAAACCCTCAGACACTGCTGTTGAGAATGCAGAATGGTGCAGCTGCTGGGAAGGCCGTTGAACAGTTCCTCAATATATGAAACATAGAGTTCCCACATGACCAGTAATGCCACTTCTAGACATATACCCAAGAGAACTGAAAATGTGTATCCTCACAAAAACTTACATACCAACGCTCATAGAAGTATTATTAAACAGAGTCAAAAAGTAGATACAACTCAAATGTCTATCAACCGAAAAATGGATAAATGATAAATGATATCCATACAACCGACTATTATTCAGCCCAAAAAAGGAATGAAGTACTGAGGCATGCTACAACGGATGAACTCTGAAAAGATTACGCTAAATTAAAGAGGCTGTTTACAAAAGACTACCTGTTGTATGATTCCACTTATAGGACGTAGCTGGAATAGGTAAATCCACAGAGACAGAAAGCAGATTCGTGGTTTCCAGGGACTGGGGAAAGACAGGAATGGGGAGTGATGCTAATGGGTAGAGAGCTTCTTTTTAAAATGATGAAAATGTTCTGGCATTAGTGGTGACTGCGATGGAACTTTGTGAATATATTAAAAGTCACTACATTGTATAATTTTAAAGAATGGAGCTTATGATGTGTGAATTCTATCCTGATGAAGCTCTTGTTTAGAAAAAAAAATCAAGAACTAATTTTTTTTATATGCTCAGCAAAAGAAAAAAGAATGAAAAAAAAAAACCTGGATTACCAACTTGGGAACATTACCTGAGACCAGACCCCTTATAGGGATTACCTGATTTCAGAACCTTCGAGGTGTTTGTTGTATAGATGAAGACATCAAGGCTGAGTCACGTAGCCAGCAAGTCATGTAGCTGGGTATAAACTTCCATCTCTTTGACATCAGGCTGGGGATCTTTGAAGTGTTGTGCCTGGAACTATTTCCTCTCTCTGTTTGTAGAACTTTAGGTCCTGACTTTTTTTTATCTTTTAATTGTATTTTGTTTCTTAGCCATCCTCCATACTGAACCTGAAAGAACACTGATATTTCATTCAGTATTTACAGGGCTCTATGAAGGAGACCGAATGGGATTCCAGACAACTGTGAACGAGATCACACATTTCAGGACAGCAGGGAAGCAACATCCTTCTTCCCACATGTGGAATTAAGATAAATATACCAATCAAATGAAAATGGGCAGATGTGAGGCACACAGTCCAAACTCTCAGCTGGGTACTAGCTCCTTCCTTAGCCTCTTCCTCAGCCAAAATTCAGCCAAGAGGACTCCGCCTGGACCTCCGAGAAGCTGCTCTGGCTCCTGCCTTCACGCCTGCCATCCCAGGTCTCTGCTTTACAGCTGCTCAACAGAGGCACAGCTCTTCAAAGATCACCAGGCCCGATGTCAAGGAGACAGATGTTTGTACCCAGCTAAATCACTTACTAGCTGTGTGACTCAGCTTCAATGTGTTCATCTCACAAAACAAATACCTTGAAGGTTCTGAAATTAGATAATCCCTATAGAGTCTCAGGTAAAATACAGGATAGTATCTATAATTCTAACTCATGCTAAGTACCAATAAACGCTACCTGAATGCACTAAGCAGAAGTTTCCCATACAACAGAGAGATGGTGTGTATTAAAGTTTTCAAATGTAGACATGAGGGGCCACTCAGTAAAGTAAAATAGATTTATCAATAGCCAGACATCTGTTGTACATAGCATTGAGTGCTGTTTTCCTTGGTAGCGGGGTGTTATGGATTGAACTGCCACCCTCAAAAAGCTGTTGACGTCCTAACCCCCACTTGTGTGAACATGACCTTATTTGGAAACAGTCCACTGATCAATCAAGATGAGGGGATTAAGTTGGTCTCTAATCCAATATGATTGATGTCCTTATAAAAAGGGAGGATTTTAGGCTGGGCGCAGTGGCGCACGCCTGTAATCCCAACACTTTGAGAGGCTGAGGTGGGTGGATCCCCTGAGTCAGGAGTTTGAGACCAGCCTGACCAACATGATGAAACCCTGTCTCTAAAAA